TAAATAAATTCAAAACTAATTAAAATAATATAATAAATGACAAATTAATGGGTGTACAACTCTCCTCCTCTTAAAGAAATTTGGTTCCCCAAATTTGCCTCTTACTCTTGGTCGAACAAATGGGGATACTGGGCTCTAAATTCTGATTCCAGTTCCCAAGTAGCCTCCCTGGGCGTGTGATTCTGCCACACGACCTTTACAAATGATATTTCCCGGTTGCGGAGTATTCTGCTCTCTCGGTCCGTGATACCGACCGGTACTTTTTCATAAGACAAGTCCTCTTGGAGTAGAAGTGGTTCATGAGCCAAGACATGAAAGGGGTCCAGATTGTACTTACGTAGCATAGATACGTGAAACACGTTATGAACTCGGGAGAGCTCGGGAGGCAGTGCTAGTCTGTAAGCAGCGGTACCAATTTTGTCTAAGATTTCAAATGGTGCAATATATCGGGGGTTTAATTAATAAATCAAGAAATTTACCAGGTATATATATATATATATATATATGTATATAGCGCACAATCTGATCAAACTCCACTAATCTAGATCAATAATTTTCACAAGGAATAAATAATTTGCTAACATACGACCATAGCCATAAGTGATAAGACGACAGAACAATATATATGCATGTGTAACGCCAGAATATCACAGAGTTAAAAGCTTTATACTTCAATTGTCATTCATCTTTTCTGGATAAATTTAATAATTAGTCTTGGAATTATAAATTATATTGAAATTCAGTCTCAAAACCTCTTTTTGCTACATATAATTTGATCAGGAAATTTATCGAATTGTTTTAAAACGCCAATTACTTAAATAATTCTTTTGCAGGAATAAGAAATTTCTTTTTTCTTTTTTTGTGTTACATAAAAAAATATATATCAAGTATTATGTGCTAAAAAATAATTATTTGAATATTTAATCATTTTTTATTATTTTTCATATATATATATAATTTAAATAAAATAAATATTTGCAACAAATTATAAGAAAAAAAAAATGTTAGAACACGATAAATAGTTGAAGGATTAAAATCATAATTGTTGCCATTGTCTTTATATAAAAGTAGAAAAAGCTGCATACATACATACACACACATTTTTTCCATAAGTGAAAATAGAGTAACTTGTAAAACTGAACAGGGACAGGCTGCTCTCCATTTTCATGTAGACCCAATGGGTTCCAGATGTTGAGATCGAGAAATTGTGGCTGCTACTGGGCCTGATGGTCGGTCCAAATTAACAATTTCAATTAATAAACTTTCCACAAGCCGCCCAAGATACGTATTATTTATTACTTACATAATTATTAAAAGAATTAGTGTTTTTATTTGTATTTAGAGTTTTACTTTTTATTATATTTTGAAAATTATTTAAAAAATAAAGATAGTTATTTAATGTTTTTATTAAATTATTTATTTAGATTTAACTGTTTTGAGTATTATTTAAAATTTGAAAATTATAAATAGATATTATATAACTAATTAAAAACATTTCAATAATTGAAGGCAACTATATAACATTTTTACTAAATAT